TAATTCATTTAATTAATAAACAAAGCGGCCAGTAAGCGCCCCGGGTTGTGTTGTGATTAACGCTTTTGTTATTATTTAAAGCATTAAATTTTAAAGTGGCCAGTAGGCGTTCTGCGTTGCTGGGGTACATAGCGTTGGGTTATTAGGTTTAATAGCTTGGGGTTTATTTATTTATTATGTTAAGAATTCTGTTGAGTTATGTGGGTTGTTGCGTTTAGCTCCATATAGCCAATTTGAATTTTGCGCTCCTTTAGATGCCACTTTCGGGTGCACTGCGCGTTATTATGGAATAGCCCCTCTGTCCTGCACGCTCTAGTGCGTGCCGTGGGACTGCATCCTAAAGGTGTAAAAAAAGGTACAGTTACGGTGGGTTGAGAACGTTAAGATGGAGTCTGGCAGTCTGCAGATTCTCTTCTATTACAGCCCCAACTAGAATGAGAGACAGGTTTGATCACGTGACCGAGAGGGCCCGAGTAAAAAGATGTTAAGGGAAATAGATGATTAGATGTAGACTTGATCCATTATATTGATCAAGCCTGGATCCATTGTATTCGCAGTTTTAGATCCATAATGGGTTTATTTCAGCTAAAGTACTGGATAATGAGATCAGGTGATACGCACACACACAGCATATAGTACCAGCTGCTTTACGAATTAAATATATATTCTTGCATGCACAATTAATGTATAAAGCTACGACTTAAGTTATAAATTAACCATTGAAAATGTCACCCCGTTAGCGCACTGCAGTTGACACTGTTCATGTTAAGTATCGTCGGAAAGTCTAAACAATAAAAATCCTGTGATTGTCAATAAAAGTAATGAGGTTATGTTACCTGGTAAGTTGAGTAAAAATAGCAAAAACCAAGCTGGCCGAATCGGTGTACGTATTTAATGACTGAAGTTTTGGAGTGTACAAAAGTAACTATTTGTTTAACCAGGATTTTCTGTCTATAACAAATTGGATTGCTATTGAAAATAACATTGACAAGTCGATAAACGAAAGCTAGTTTTATTTGATTACAGATGTTCTTTTTACTTTTAAATATGTAAAGAGTAAAATAATTTAATATTTATTTGTTTAAATTAATTCGTTCAATAAGTTCTACTTTCACGTACGGTTTCAAATTAGAATCATTATCAATTAGTTATTTTATGACATAATTTCTACAATATATATGTCAATACTTTTCTTCCCAATAAATAACACGCTGAGTAATACAGCATCTGGATCAAGGCTTGATCCATTTTTCATCAATTATCTATAACTCCAGCTGCCTGGATCTATTATTGATCCAAAATGCGGACACAATTAATTGAGAATTGATCCATTTAATGTATCCAGACTCGATCCACACCAGAGAATAGAGAATATACTCTTCTTGCATCGAAGGCCAGATCGGCCGTTTTCGCGTCCGCAGAATTTTTTCTTTACATTTTAGTTATAGCCCCTATAAGGCAGGCAGCGTTAGTGTTGGGGGACAACCGGGTAACTCACCCATAGATCAGTGTTGGCAAAGAGGATCTTCGCATACCACAACCGCAATCGAAACTTTCCGTTGGAAAAGTTCCGAAGCCAATCGGAGCAGAGGTACAACAGAAGTGTAGGGGAAGACTTATTTCTCCTGTGAATAATAACGTAAGTGCCTATCCCCACACAACCCAGGGCACTTACTGGTCACATTATTTATGAATGATAAATAAACTGATAACGCAAGTGCCTATCCCCACATAACTTGGGGCGCTTACTGGTCATTACACTTATTAATGAAACAAATATATTAACGTAAGCGCCTATCCCCATATAATCCCCACCTAACCCGGGGCGTTTACTGGTCGCTTTGATTATTTATAATAAATAAAATAGTAACACAAGTTCCTATCCTTACACAACCTGGGGCACTTTCTGGCTGCTTAAACTATCAATAAAACAAACGTAATAACGCAAGCGCCTATCCCCACATAACTCGGGGCGGTTACTGGTCGCTTTATTTATTTATGGTTAATAAAATAATAACGCAAGCACCTATCCTCACACAATCCGGGGCATTTACTGGCTGCTTATTATAAATAATCAAAGCGACCAGCAAGCGCCTAAGGTTATGTGGGATAGGCGCTTGCGTTATAATATTTGTTTCATTAATAGTTATAGTGGCCAGTAAGCGCCCCAAGTTGTGTGGGGATAGGCACTTGCGTTGTTATTTTATTTATTATAAATAATCAAAGCGACCAGTAAGCGCCCCGAGTTGTGTGGGGATAGGCGCTTGTGTTATTATTTTATTTATTATAAATAATCCAAGCGACCAGTAAGCGCCCCAGGTTATGTGGGGTTAGGCGCTTGTGTTATTATTTTATATATTATAAATAATCAAAGTGAGGAGTAATTGCCCCCATTGTGTGGGGATAGGCGCTTCCGTTATTATTCACAGGAAAAATAAGTCTCTCCCCACACTCCCGGTGTAGCTCTGCCCTGATAGCGGTAGGGGTATGCGAAAATCCTCTTTGCCAACACTGCCATAGATGCCGATAACTATTGCCTTCCGAGCAGCACGACAAAGTGCCTGTTTATTAGTATCCTATATATTACTGAGTTTTGATGCGAATCTACTGAATAACACGTTTAAACTACAATTAGTTAAGAAAATATCGATAATGAAACTATATAAAAAAGTTATACATTAATTTTTCTCAACATGCATATCAAAAGCTTATGCAGGGGCGACTCACCAAATTTCACAAAATCTCCTAGCAGATCTGTAAGTATAGTCGTTGCTTCAGAGGTAGAACTTTTGCTTTCAAATCCAAAGTTCTTGGATTAAATGCACTTATTCCAGTTTTTTTTAATTTACTTCTGTATTTTCTTATGAAGCGTACAAAAATTTCTTAAATCATTTTTGTATGTAATATTTCCTAATCAATACATGGATTGAATATGTTATATTTATTTTTTACCGAAAAAAAAAGAAAACTGTTTATGGCACATTTTAACTCAAGTCAATGTATATTGCGAAATTTAAGACTCTTAAATATAGACATGAGCGCGCAAAAAATGATTTCACAGTAGAATATTCCTGTAAATTCAATGTATAAAATGGTTGTTCTTTAATAAAATTTTCGAGTATTTTCATAATTTTTTAATGAATACAATTTTTATGAAAAATAATGCTCATAACAAAGTTGATATTGATAACTCTACTTTGCTCAAATATAGAATTAAATTGTAATTCTCCATATGGATTTGCAACCGTAGAAATCTTTTGTATGCTGAAAATATTGGTGAACAAATTTTTTCCTTATTTACCATTTTATTGCGTTATCCATTAATCATACGACTCGATCTCATACGGACCTCTATCAGACTAGTTTTTCCAGTATATTTAGTATACTTATGTAAAAACTTATTATGCATGAGTTGCTTAACTTTCTTTGACTGTACTATATGAATTCTGTTACGTTAAACTTACTTATAATTAGAATTTCTTTATGAATGCATAAGCTTTCTTGTATTTTTCTGTGTATATAGTGTCTCGAATCTTTTGGTTGAATTTTGTAACCTTTAACCATCGTTTTTCAATTATTTAATACACGAGTTATTTTGCTTTCATTAGTTAAGTTAGTTGCATTTTGTATGGGATTTATTTAAAACGTAATCAATATACAACTGTCTTTCCATTACACTACATATCGTACGTAACAATCCCATTCCGATGGAAGAAACTGACACCATCTCGTTGGTTTCTATCGAATAATCTCAATATAAGGGAAAAATAATTTATTAAACAGTTTTGTCTCATATTTTAAACGGTTGTACTGATGTATTACCTTTAAACTTATATTGACATTAACGGAGAGCAGAAATTTTTTTTAAGTTTCATTAAAAATTATAGTAGTAAATAAAAAAAATTTTAAAAATTTGGACAAAGAGCATTGAACCCAATATTTTGGGTTTTAAAGCAAAAGTTCTACCTCTGAACCAACGAATATACGGATCTACTAGTAGATTTAGTGGAATTTGCTGAGGTGCCCCTGCATAAGCTTTTGATATGCATGTTGAGAAAAATTAATGTAAAACTTTTTTTTAGTTTCAATATCGATATTTTCTTAATTAATTGTAGTTGAGACGTGTTTGTCAGTAGTTTCGCATCAAAAATCACTACAGTTGGCTACAATGAAAGCGAGTCTGCCAATCTCCAGGCTGCCAGATTACATCTAAACTCACCCTTAAACGATGTTAAGTATGTGACAGATGTGAGCGTGACGTCAAAGATGTAATTAGCGTATAGGCGGTAGGAAGTCGTTTTTAAATGATCGAAAGATTTGATGAAACTGCATAGTCGTATACTGTCCAGCTTTACATACTGTTTATATATTATTGTGCCATAAGAGATTGTTTGAAATCATTTATGTATGAAATATTAAAGTATTTATTGAAACGACATCCAATTAACGTAGGTATACTCATTTCAATGACAATTGCCCTACCTTTGTACACAATAACGTTTCAAAGGAGGTGTAATTATATTTATAACTATAATGTCTGCCATACAATTACGTAGAAGTAGTATGACCTTATACTTGGGGTACCCAAGCACCTACTGCTCACTGATTTATTGGCAATAAGAAAAATACTTCATTTTTTAAAGCAGCGACTAAATAACATTAAGCAATGAGTAACGAACCAACCATCTAACTGGCACTTAAATTCAACAGCTGTGTGTTGGATCCCAATTGTTTGATTTTCCTGGAAAAAAAATTTATACGGATCTTTGCCTGTACTTATACCACGATAACACAGAAAGAAAAAGGGGGTCATAGATGTAGAATGCTTTATGACAATTTGTAACAGTAGACTTGTCTGAGGTTCTAAGAGCTGCATGAATAAATGTATATTTGTTCTATGTGTGTGTCTACTTTCATGAAAGGGTTGCTGAAGGTTTGTAGCTTCCATAATATTAACGAACATATTTTGTCATGTTTATAAAAAAATGTTTTCTACTTACATATCTCCGTTTATCCAAACTTTCATAATATAGTTTGATGAATTCTTCTGCTGCACGACAAGCTTGATCAATTTTAGATTTCAACTCCTAAGAAATTAAAATTTATTTTTAATCACAATCAATTTGTATAGGATAGATAGAAAACTGTTCAAATTGTCATCAGCCACTTTAAGCAAATTTTATTGGCTATGCTGTGCTTATGAAATCTTCAGTCTGCAATTGTTTCTATAAATACATCTACAAACCAATATCGTTCTTTGACCTTAGAATTCTAAAGTACTTTTTGAATAAAACAAGTCACTTTGTGTGTGTAAGTTATACTTAACAATACTTAATAGTAAGAGTATGATTGATTACAATTCAACAGATTAGAAAACAATTTTAATTTTCCAAAGAAGTGAGCTATTAATGTTATTTGCTTATATTTTCGTCAAACTCATCGTAACAATGTAAATGTTAAGTACATAATAATCAAAATATTACCCCTTCCATTTCAAATGTTTGATACCTATACAATGTAATATTCTTAAGTTAAAATGGGAAATTCCAAATGTTACCCACAAGAAGCTTTTATGATTATTTTCAGTCATATGTAAGGGCCATTTCACACAAATCCGATAAGAGCGAGGAATAAGGAAATAACAGTAATAAGATGTATAACAGCGGAAATAATAAGCGGAATAAGGTATTGATGTACTATACTTTTTTGAGAGCCGTACCATATAACTTTTTTTTTGCTTCACAGGCCTATGTTATAACATGGGCCGATGTTTAGAAAAATAGTTATATGGTACGGACCCAGTCCGACTGCTCCTCTTGTTCCCGTTATTTCTTTTTTCTTGCTCTCGCTCCCGTTATTTATTTAATTCTTACTCTTATCGCAGTTGTGTGCAGATGCCCTAACAGCTATAGACGTACAAGCATGGTGTAAGAATAGACAGGTGGGCCGAAGGCCTACCTCAACGCATTGTAAAAAAAGTTCAAATTTTGTCGCAGTACCGATACTAGCCACCAGAGAGATCCGTGTCGTGCAGGCCATTGATAGTATAAAAATTTTTTTTTCTTTCTTCTTTTTTTTTTTCTATACAGTCATACTGACCATTATAAAAACTGCCTCTACTACTCGAAACCACCTAGCGGATTTTAGATGTACTGCGACACAAATTGGACTCGATAGAGGCGGGCCTTCGGCCCACCTGTCTATTCTTACACCATGCGTACAAGAAATGCTCGTTCATAGACATATAAGAAATAGACTGCTCGTTCTTATGTACATGTACGGTGCTGAAGCACAAGTAGAAAGAGACACAACATCGAACATGTATACCTGTCTCTCTCGCACGTTGCCAACAGTAGAGCAGTGCTCCAGATTCCCACATAACTCGACAAAATTTCTAACACAATCAATAAATAAACCCCAAGCTATTCAACACAATAACCCACTGTTATTTAATCCAGGAACGCGGAACGCCTACTGGCCACTTTAAAATTTAATGCTATAAATAATAACAAAAGCACCAATCACCACACAAACCAAGGCACTTACTGGACACTTTATTAACTAATAAAATGTTCCGTCGGTTCGGTATGGAATACACATCTATAATAGCCGAGTCGGTCTATAATTCGAGGAAGAAAGACTTTGTTTCCGTGCAATCGTGCACACACATCCGCACTTGTACATGTACAGCAAGAAAAGAGGAGGGAAAGAGAAAGAGACAGTTTTCACACAAATTAGTCGAGACAGGATCGAGTCTCATCGTCTCATGTCTCATCCCCCTGCCTGAGTAAAGAGAGGGAGGGGGGAGAGTCTTGACCAGCGCCGACGCATCAGAACTAATAACCTTTTGTTTTAACTAATGAGGTCACTCTACGTCTGGCTCTCTTGAAATACTTACGTCGGCTTTCTTGGGATTCACCGTAGTAATTCGTGCCTATAGTTTTTCTGGGACCTCGTGTTTTGCTCACGTAGATTACGTTTAACTAACGCCGTGCTTTCTTGTGTGCTCTTTCTCAATCTCGCTTTCTGATCGATACGCCGCGGTATATTCACGTGTTCGCGACCGCGACGCACCAGCGTCCTCGTGGACACACCGAAGTGATCCGTGCCGCACGCGATCAGTGGCCCAGCCACCCACGACACCGTCGCTCTCGTATCAGCGCGAACTACCAGGCGCCGACCACCAGGTTAGCGACGCGCCGTCAACGATCAGCTCTGAGCTTAGAGAATATATACATGGAGGAAGCATTGTATGCTCCGACCGCGAGACGAGATGAAAGATACAAAAGACAAATAGCAGTACAACCTTTCTCTCTCTTACACGCCTCTGATTGGTTGGCCCCCTTCCGTATACATAGGTAAAGTCGTGTCCACGAGTGGCGGTCGTGGGGGAACAGAGCAGATATATGTAACCTAAGCTCTGATAAAAAAAAACTTATACATTACCAGAGAATATAGAATGTATCCTCTTTAAGTATAGAAGGCCAAAGCGGAATTCCAAGCAATACACACTAAAACAATAATCTTCCATTACAACATAATTAAAACAACAAAATTTGAATAAAAATTTCCAATTTTAATTAAAGCCCTCATACCTGGTTAAACAGTTCATGTATGGCTAATGACTCAGTTAGAATGTTTGTCATCGATAGCTGAGCGGTCAAGAATGCTCGATTAGCTTTTGCGCTCTGGGCTTCGAATCTGACCTATGCTTTTTTTTT